AATTCAGTTCCTTGCTGAAGGTCATCTTGTCTAGCAAACCTGTTGAACTAGACCAGGGGTATCAAACTCAAGGCCTGCAGCTTGGATCCATACCGGGGGTTGTGTTGTTTAGATCTGGCCACGGGGCCGCCCTGGAGACAGTGAAGGACTGGCCTGCAGTACCTCTGCCAGCAAAAACAAAGCTCGGCAGGATTTTGGGCAGCCCTCCGAGCTCCATTTTCACTGGCAGAGGATTGCAGGAGGCCATCGCAGCTGGAAACTGAGCTTCTGAGGGCCGCCCCTAACACAAGTGACATTGAGCTGGCCACGCCCCCCCTACCCTCCCCCCCGAGATCAAACACAACCCTGGTGTGGCCCTCAATTAAATTGAGTTTGACACCCCTGAACTAGACTCAAGAAGCAAAAGTCAGAAAAGTAAGGGAAAGGCTAGGAACACTTGGTGTATCCCCAAAACGGGCAAAATCCAGCAGGTTCTGACAGGTTCTGGAGAACCAGTAACGGAAATTTTGAGTAGTTCAGAGAACCGGCAAATGCCACCTCTGACTGGCATGAGGATTTCGCAGTATCCTTCTCCTGCCATGCCTACCAAGCCACGCCCACCAAGCCATACCATTCCAACCAAGCCATGCCCACAATACCAGTAGTAAAAAAAAATTGAATTTCACCACTGCCCATTAGGTATAAGCAAGAAGTACATTCACCCAGCTATGTACTTTCTTTTTAGATTAGAGCAGGAGTTTCCAACATTGGCAACTTTAAGACTTGTGGATTTCAACTCCCAGAATTCCCCAGCCAGCCATGAGAGTTAAAGTCATCAGGTCTTTAAAATTGCCAAGGTTGGATACCCCTGGATTAGAGTTTAGTAATCTAGGATGTTCGGCTCCTGTTTGGAAATAATGTATTTGTCCATTGGCAGGAAGGACATTTGATCCCACCGATTTCCTCAGGCAGACAACCACCAACATCCTGTGTTCAATTGCCTTTGGGAACCGCTTTAATTATGAGGACAAGGATTTCCTGAGATTCCTTCACTTGTTGGATGAAAATGGCGAACTTCAATCTACCACAATGGCAAAGGCAAGTATAGGAGAGGATCACACAACGGAATTTCCAATCCAGTTGTGAGGTGGGCTAGGATAACTCTGCAAACATTAGGAATGTGGAGGGAAAGAGGATCAACCCGTTTGGTATTTCTCTCCCTACTGCAAAAGAATTAATGCTGAAATGGCTGGCTGTGAACTCCGCCGGGAGTTGAACTCCACACCTCTTTTTTTTTAATTAAAAGTTTTTTTATTTTTATTTTTCAAAACAGACACAACACAAAAAAATCCTCTTTCTTTACATACTGTAGAAAGTGTATCAGTTGGTTACAAAAAGTGTTCGTGCATTTCTTTCACAGTGGCCCATGATTCATATTAATTCTAGAATTTTAAATCAAATATATTTGTACATATTACCATCATCCTACCCNGAGGAGGCCTAGCCTGTGGGTTCTTATCGGACGTTGGGAGGTGTGTAGCAGGAGACGGTCTCTCAGATATCCAGGTCCAATGCCATGTAGGGCTTAGCCACTGAGCCACCACATCCCTACCTTACAGGTTACATTAAATGGGACAAACATTTACATTAAATAGTTACATTAAATGAGAAAAATGTGCGGAGGGGGAGAAATCTTCCAACAAATCTTCTGACCCAGGTTTCTCAAACTCTTAAAAAGACCCTGAAGGAAGTGGTGGCTGTAGTTTAGCCTCAGTTGAAAACAGCTGAATGCTTTCCCTTCAGTCTTACCTTTAACTGCTTATCTGCACTGAATTTCTTTCTAAAGACTTTAAGAAATGCACAATGACCAGGAAGGGATTTCAAAACAAAAAGGGATTAAAATGTACATGAAAGAGCTGAAGACGAACAACCAGCAGCCCTTCTCCAGTGGAAATGAGGCCAAGTTGCAAAGAGGACTTTAATTCTGTTAAGCATTTAGTTTAAATTTTTAAACAGGGCCCTGAAGCTGGAATGGGAAAAAATCCTTTATTTCAGGGTTTTTTTTTAAATAGTAAGTAGAAGTAGTCCTCAACATACAACAGTTCATTTAGTGACCATTCAAAGTTACAACAGCATTAAAAAAAGTGATTTAGAACCATTTTTTACCCATATGACTGTGGCAGTATCCCCTCGGTCACATGAACAAAATTCAGACGCTTGGCAACTGACTCATATTTATGACGGTTGCAGTGTACAGGGATCATGTGATCACTTTTTGCAACCTTCTGACAAGCCAAGTCAATAGGAAAGCCAGATTCACTTAACAACCGAGTTACTAACTTAACAACTATGGGAAGAAAGGTCATAAAACGTAGCAAAATTCACTTTATAACTGTCTCACTTAGAAGTGTTAGGCTCAATTGTGATCATAAGTCAAGAACTACCTCTATATCTGAAAGGATTCATCACTTGTGCAAGACTTATCAAGAAAAATACTAGAGGCTGGTCAGGTTTCTGATTAAAGAACTAAGTTAGTGCCTCTAGCATAACATAGATTGAAGAAGATAACATGGATGTTAACATTCCTGACTGATGCTAGAGATTGTAACAGGCAAAACAACTTCCACATAAAAGGTCTGAGTGAAAAAGCTGAGAACATTAACACAATAGATCATACAATAATATAATACAATAGCAGAGTTGGAAGGGACCTTGGATATAGCTGCTCCTCCTCCTATGCAAATATGATGCATTTGGTTGCATTTTCTCAGATGGTTTCACAAAAATAGGATAAACATTGAATTGTTGCTGATGTCACTTAACATATGAGCCTCCAATTGGTCAAGGATTGAAACACAGCCATCACGTGGATTTCTACTCTGTCGTTTTAAAGAAACAATTGTTCACCGGAATAAATTTATACACTTACAATACAATAGCAGACTTGAAAGGGACCTTGGAGGTCTTCTAGTCCAACCCTCTGCATAGGCAGGAAATGGTTATCCAACATCTTCTTAAAGTCTTCCAGTGTTGGGGCATTCACAACTTCTGGAGGCAAGCTGTTCCACTGTTTAATTGTTCTAACTGTCAGGAAATTTCTCCTCAGTTCTAAGTTGNACCCAGACTGTGGGGGCGATATGCTGACTCTGTAAACCGCTTAGAGAGGGCTGAAAGCCCTATGAAGCGGTATATAAGTCTAACTGCTATCTAACTGCTATCTTATAAGTGGCTTTTTATATTTTGATTGGAGTGTGTTGATAGCTGGATTTTAAGTCATTAGCTGTCCTTTGCTTGGGCTGCCCAGTCCTCGCCTTCCAAGTACTTGGTAGACTGGTGGTAAATCAGCACTCCTGTTCACTGAGGAGGGGGCCGTTTCCTAGGTTTCAATCACAAATTGTGTCACTCTGCCATAGGACATCCTTTCAGACTGGTAGATGCATGCCCAAAGGAATTCTGGGAGTTGCAGTCCCAAGCAAATATGTGTGATTCTAGATTAAAGGTGGCTGATTCTCAGTAAGCATTCCACGCTCTTGTAACAGAAATATTTAACACTATTGATACATCAACTACAGTGGTGGGTTTAAAAAAAAATTGGAACCTCTTCTGTACGTGTGGCCTGCTTTCCAGGTCCACTGGTGGAACCTCTTCTAACCAGTTAGGTAGATTTGACAAACTGGTTCTACCGAATAGGTGCGAACTGGTAGGAACCCACTCTGATCAACTATTCATATCAGTGTAATACATTACTATGGCTGAGTCCAGTCTCAATGCAACATTAGGAATGGCTGGTGGGTGCCCCAGTGTTTATATTCACATACGCCTTGCTAAAGGATTCAGAATAAGCTTTTCAGGGCTGTAATTTCACAAAGGTTGCTAGTAGCTACTAGGAAGAGAGCTTTCTTTCTATGCGATACCTAAATCATGGATCTCAAGCCTCTCATATTACATACCTGGAATTATCCTACTCATTGTTAGGCATCAGAATAATTCTACCCAGGCCAATTTTAATTATCTCAGAATAATAACATTCCATCCTGGAATACACTATGCTGGTTGAACTAAAACTCCCACAATTCTCTATTGGTTCTGCTCGTTAAGAATTCTGGTGGTTATAGCCAGGATCATTCCAGAAAGATCCTGACTATAGAATGCCTGGTAAGTTTTCCACTACCTGACTCTGTGGTTACATCTTCAGATCCCCATAACTTTAACCTTAAACTGCCTACTATTGACCGCACCCCATTCCTAAGAAATCTGTAAGAGGGGTGCATAAGCACACCAGCGTGCCTACTGTTCCTGCCCTGCTGTCCCCATTTATTTGTACCCATTTCATTCATATGCTATATAAATTACGAATATAATAATTTTACCTCTCAAATATATAAATACCATACATAGACCTGATTTTTATATGTATACAAATGTGTATATGTATATGATTTGTATATTATGTTGCAATGGTGTGTATATGTGTGACATACATAAGGAATTATATGATTATGTGATTCTTTTTAAATGTGAGAATTGCTTAGGTTAAGTAACAGGGATATATAAGCTTTATTTCACTGCATCTCTCTGCTATTCAACTTTCTTTCTTTCCTTCCTTCCTTCCTTCCTTCCTTCCTTCTTTCTTTCTTTTTCTTTCTTCATATCTGGGCAGTTCAAAGAACAAATATAGAAAACCCTATACAAATAATAACAACATACTAAAAATGCTCTATTACTACATTACTCTAATATACAATCAATATGTACTTCATACATACTGTGTATTCTTATACCTACTATCTTGTAAATGATTGACAAATCAAATAAGTAAATAACATAAAAATATAATAGAATACATATCAAAGCATCAGTGTTGTATATTATTTGTTTTAGAGGGGTATCAAACACCAAATCAACTATTCTAGCACAAAAATGGACTTATCTTGCTGTATGTGCATTTCTGCCAGAATGTTTTTCTCTTTGTTTCTTGGAAAAGAATATCTTCAACATTGAACTTGTCATTGTCTAACTAGGGAACTACTGTATTTCCGGCTGTGAAATCCTCTTTGTATGACAGTAGAGAATTCCCTAACCCACAACAATTTGATGTTGGGCACTTCTTGGACAAGAAGGGAGCTCTGAGAAAGAGCGAATTCTTCATCCCTTTTTCCACAGGTAAAGATATCCTAATTTTAGAGCTGAGATCAACGGAGAAAATCATGTTATTGCTTATGCTTTTTCTAGATCAATTGTATATTTTATTCACATTTTTTTGAAAACAGAAATAGAAAAGTAGCCAAACACATTTCCAAATGAATGTAGAAAGGATTACCTTAAATGTCAAAAATACCTTAGCTATTAAATGCCTGGGGATTTCCCTTGTCTTAAATTTGTTATATCTGATATCTCCATTGTTGGACATTTTACTCTTTTAAGCAAGCTGGCACAAATCAATGATCGTTTCCTCATTTTTGCTTGCAGGCAAGCGGGAATGTCTAGGCAAGAAATTGATAGACATCATAATATTTGTCACCCTGACAACTATTTTGCAGCATTTTACTCTGAAGCCGTTGGGAGGTCCTGATGACCTTGATACCACACCAACATCTGGATTTCTGACAGTTGCCCCCAAATCCTACCAGCTCAGTGTTGCCCCTCGTTAAACAGAAACACTCAACCAACCTCATGGCTCCAAATACTGCAACTGTTTTCACGCCAGACCTTGAAGTTCCTGATCCAGTACCTGACACATAGTGCTTGAACGAAAAGTGATTTCTTTGAATGTTACTGTATTTTTGTGATTTTTTAAGTTGCCTTTTAAAATGTATGATTATTCAAAAAGGTGAAGTATAAACATTTAAATAAATTTTACAAAAATGAAAAGCAGATTTTGAGCAAGTGATGGTTATAAGAGATATGTGAGTAAAGGAGAGGTCCCAGATTTGGATCCAATAATTTAAGTTTTTATGTTCTTACAAAATGAAGAGGCAGAAAAATATTTGTTCTCTCTACATGTTCTTTCTTCTTCTTTTTTTCTTTCTCTTCCTTTCTCTTCCTTCCTTTCTGTTTCTCTCTTCCTTTCTTTCCTTTCTTTCTCTTCCTTCCTTCCTTCCTTCTGTCTTTCTATTGATGAAAGAAATGTCCTTCTGGGTTCAGCTCCAAGTGGGGAAAAAGACACTGGAGACATGGAGGCTGCTTGGAAAGATGGTTTATTGTTGGACAGGGTCGCACGGCTTGAGCCCTGAACAGAAAAGTTGATCACATGCTTCAATGTTGGTGGAGAAGAAGAGAAGGGCTGAGGGAGGGGCTAGGCTTTTTATATCCTGTTCAGTCCCACCTCTCTGTTTCCTGTTCCTGT